AAAATGCATCGCATCCAACCTGGAGGTTGGAAATTTTCTTTTAAAAAGGACAGGAGTATGCAACTCAATGCCAGAGCACTTGCCTAGCATATGCAAGCCCCCGAGTTTCTCAGCTCCATCCTGTAAACTACAAGAAAACAGTAGGTTGTTTTTTTTTTAACATCTGTAGCCACAGTTTGGTTATGATAATGTTGAAGAAAGAAGGAAGAGACAGGCCTGGCTCAAGCCTCTAATCCTAGCTATTTGGGGGATGTGGTTTGAGGCCATCCTGAACACCCTCCCCCCCAAAAATGTTGGAGACTCCATCTCAACCAATGACTGGATGCACCTGTCATCTCAGTTATAGGAGAAGCACAATGGTGGGAGTGGTGGTAAAGACCTGTCATTCCAGCTACAAAGGAAACAGGAGGATTGCAGTCAGGGCTCCATCTGAAAAAATGACCCAACACCAAAAGGCCTGGCAGAGTGGCTCAGTGGTAGAGCACCTGCATAGTAAGTTCAAGACCTTGAGTTCAAGCCCAAGTACCATAACAAAAGGCAGAAGGCTTACTCTAAAGAGGTGTCAACTTGTCTACAACAAAAAACGCTCTCGTATATGAGGAAAGAAGTTCATGATCAGGATGGTTTCCACTTCAGTTTTCCCCAGAGTTGAGATGGAGAGTTGCTAGTTCTCCAATTCCCCCTCTAGTCCATTGAGCTAAAGGCTCATCTGGCTATGAAATTTAGGATTTTTAGAAAAGTGCCTGAACAAGAGTTCATTTGGCTGTTACATGCCTTTAAAGCAATCAGAGTTTTCACTGTAGCCCTGCTGAGAACAATGGAACCAAAACAACAACAACAAAAAACAGTTCATATGTGTTCTCAACCTATAAGTAGCCCAGCCCTTCCCACCTTGAGAATCTTCTAGCTTAGAGTTGCTCCAGTGTGGTGTCTGTATTACAAGGAACTCATAGAGCTTAACTAGTCAGATGCTAAATTATTTAAATGAGAGTATCATAGAAAAGTTAGCACTAACCTTACTATCAAATTATAACCACAGATTAGAACGCAGAACTTGTGGGAACTTTCACAATCATGTGAGAAAGAGAAGTCTTTTGTTTCATATATTAAATATCAAATGGCTCCCAAAAAGAAACCGAAGTTTTTCAAGGTCAATTAACTGAAAAGTCAAGGTTTAATCCCTGGTGCTTGCTATCAGTGTCTGAGGCATTGCAATCTTGTCTCCAAATGAGAAAGTGATCATTTGCTACACTTTTTTGGAGGGGCATATTTAGTCACTCTTAGAATACACCCATTTCTTTGAAGTTTCATTTTGAGCTTTCCCTTCCCTAATTATAAAGTTTGTGGCAAAGAAGTTTTCATTCACAACATCCAAGTGTAGCATAATAGTGAGCGTGCACTTTTTCCAACCTATGTGTGCAATCCTGGAGATTCTCACCAACCTATTGAGGGATGTGAGTCCCTGGGGATAGGAATGAATGATTAACATCTACTGGTGCAGGACAATGCCAAACTGATGATTCGAATCATGAGTCCCAAAGCGGGGACTTTTATGAAGAGGGAATGAATGTTTAATTCTGTCTTGGGAAGGCAAGCAAGATAACCAAGCAACAAAATAATAATGAATAAAATGAAATGAAATGAAAATAAGTAAAGCATAGGAGCAGACACTTGAGGCTGAGGAGCACTGAGGTGGAAAAACATGGGAGGCCGATAGCATTCCAGACCAAGGTAGCTCCCAGGTAAAAGTCATAGAGATAGAGATGATCGAAAGTTCAGGAAACTGGAAGTGATCCAGTTTAATTGGTGTCTAGAGTGGTAGCAAGGGCAAGGGCTCCCCGAATGAGCAATCTCAACAGTAACCCCAAAGAGAACCCAACACTGCAAAAAGTCTATGCTTACTACAGCAGAGTGGTGATGAGGAACCAGCCCTCCTCGCCCCCCTCCCCCTTCCCCCAGCAGTGCATCATCACTTCATAAACCATGACATGATCTGAACAGTAACGTTTCCTATCAGTGGACTCTAATTTTATTAGAAAGCAGTGGTCTGATGGAAGAAATAGTCAGCTAGAGCTGAGGAAATCAGAGTCTTCTCTCGGGGATGTATAAAAGGAAGAAAATGAGAGCATTTTTTCTTTTCTTTTTTATCTCTTAACTAGTTTTTGCCTTTGCCCGATGCGTACTCCTCCAGAGGAAATGTGCCGAATGACAAGATAATAATCACAAATAGGGAGATTTTTGTTTAGGCCTCCACAAAAAGCTCTCTAACAATGAGGAATGTGAAATTAAATCCTTGACTCAATCACGAATGTCACAGTCAGGGTCAGCGCTGATTTGCAGACTTCATCTCTCATCCTAATTACCGAGACCTCCTCCTGAAGGCAGGTAGCTTTGCAGACCCTTCCCCTGAGAGATTAATTCCGCTGGAGAATGGTTCTAAAGCTGCCCGTTTCACAAGCTCCTGGCACAAACAATGTAATAGCCGGGAATGATGGCAAACATACGCAGGCGGCAGTCATCTAAGGAATTAGGGCATGGGCTTCAGGTGTGTTTCTTGAGAAGTAAGGAAGAGATTTGGGAAAGGGGCGTGGCCATGCCTGATCTGGATGGGGCCGTACTCATCCACTCATTTCACAAATAGTTATCTTGTGCCCATATGGGCCAGACACAGTACTAGTACTAGGCACTGGGAATTACAGAGGTAAACGAGACCAACAAAATCCCTGCCTTCACATTGACTCACCTTGTCGCAATTCTCACTACAGGTACCTGTTAACATTGTAGTGGCGACTCAAACCTGTAGCACACAGCGCCCCAACCATTCCACTGGAGGAGGGGCATCCTGTACTGGAAGCAGGAAGGATGAAACAGAAGAATTGCTCTGAGTGAAACTCATATAAGTGGGCCTGGAGGCTTTCTTAGCTTTCCACATGCACCGTAGAGCACCACTGGAGGTGCTTCATACCTTGTAGGCTATGTGTCTTGAGAGGGTGGGGTAAACAAAGCCTTTCTAGGGAAAGCTCTGTCAAATCATCCATCTCCTTAATCTGGCTTAACCAGAGGGTAAAGTCCCCGGGGAAGAGCATTTTCTGAGTGTAGGTTGCGCTGCCTTGCTCCAGTACCTTCTTTTTGGACAAGCTGATCCCCCTGCCAAATCAGTCTTCCCAGACTACAGTTGGTGTGGCATCACCTCACCCTCTGCCCCAAGACAGAACTAAACCACTAAGTCAGGCATTGGAGTCCCTCTATATTTTGGCCCTACTTCCTCTACTCACTCTGTCCTCAGACATCCTTAGATACTCTCCCTCTGTTGGAAGAAGAGCTTCCTGCCCATGGATTTCTGAACTCAGTTTAAATGTTACTTCTTGCAGGCGCCGTGACCCTCTCAGCAAGAAGAGGTTCTGTTCTTTGAATTCTGCATCGACCTTGGGTGCTTTCCCTAAGGCAGAAATGCTTCCTTGGCTACATAATTTATCTTCCAAAGCAGGATGAATTCTTTGAGAATAAAGAGTGTTTTATGATTTTTTTTTAAAGTGGCTTCTCAGGACCTAAGAGTGCCTCAGTTTTTACAGGGTGCAATATGAAATTGTTCCGTATCAGGGAATTCACTTGATGTTTTTGTAGTAGTTTCATGTGCTGGTCAATTACAAATTTCCTCCAAAGGTCATGCTAATAAAAGCAGAAATAACTCTGTGATGTAAACATAAACATAAGATAGCTTAATAATCTATGTGTGAATTTTTATGCACTAGCTGGAAAATTCTGGGGGGAGACTTGGGCTTTTCAACTTCCTCCTATTCTTGCATAATCTTAATCCTATCTCTTCCATCCCCAATCCACTGGCTGTACCTATCCATCATCTGTGCTACACCTCACCCTTACTCAAAAGCATTTTTAGCAGTTTACATGCCCTGCTACATTCACTTACAAATTCTTCCCATACTTATCTCCCTTTCCATATTCTTTTAGGGCAGAAAAGATAGATCTTTCATTACTGCTGGTTGTAATGTGTACTGATGAGTACATTTCCAGAATTCTAAAGATTCCCTAGACTCTAGACAGTTGATACAGAGTCATGACCTCAACATAAGTATAACACATACTTTGATATTTAGGCAAGTTTTAACTGGGTAACAGTCCTTCCACCTCTAACACAGAGGTTCTGCTTGATGGTTTCTAGGTTGATCTGTTTTGCTAAAATATTTGGACTTTAATGTTTCACGGATTTTTATTTATACAGGGAGAACATGAGTACTCCTAGGTACCAAGCATTATACTAGATACTTGAAATATAGACTTCATCTGGTATTCACAATGACCCTAATAATACATAGTTTCATTATACAGATAAAAACTGAGGCCAATGGATATTAAGTGACTTGCCCAAAACCATACAATAACTTTGTAGAGTTATGATTCCAATATTGGTGTTTCTAAATACAAAGCTCGTTTTGTTTTAGTTATCCCATGCTTTCCTCTGAAAACCCAGTTCATTGTGATTCACTGGCCTTCAACTTGAAAACAGAGATCACCAGAAAAAAAAAAAAAAAGATGTAATTTCAGAGAAAAGAATTTTTACATTCCTAAGGGGAAAAAAAAAAAGGAGCACCAATCGGGCCTCCGGGAACACCATGTTATTTCATCAGGATTTCAACTGCTGGTTTTAGTTTCATTTTCCTCAAGAGAGCATCAAATCAACCCAACATCAAGTATTACCAGCCCAACCATTATGGCACCTCTTCCCACCATTATAATCACCAAAGCCATCAATCATTTTTTTCCAAAACAAATCACAGCCTAAAATATATTACTTCCACAGATTTCTAGAAATTAGGTGCATGTACAATGGGGCACAAACGGAAGAGTCCAGAGTCACAAAGATGTCTAATCTTACATTTTGGTACAATGTAACTGAATTGGCAAAGACCATTAAAGCGGAGAACCAAAACAAGGAAGGATAAAATTATTATATATGCAAGTAAACACCTGCTGTGTCTCTCTCCTTTATGAATTTTTAATTAGGTCAAATTAATAGATTCAACAAACATTTTGAGCACCAGCAACTGTGCAAGGTGCTAAGGAATATAGCTATGCACAAGATATAGTAGGCTCCCGCTCTGACTGCATACTTCTTCGCTTCACACGGTCTTGCTGACTCGGTGGTACTGCATGTTCCCTAATAACATTGTATTTGTTGGAAAGTCAGCCAGCCGAGCCATTCTCTGGAATACTTTTGGAGTTTCTTTCTGGTAAACTGGACCGAAAGCTTTGTTTAACTTGGAGAAGGCAGACAGATGATCCCCAGTAGCCGTTCGACAAGCATGTTGAAGGTCAAGTGAGCTGTCAAGCAAGATGGTGGTGGGCGCGCAACGGGGCAGTCTAGACCAATCGGTTGCGCTTGTGGGATGGGGAGTCTATGGTGCCATCACCGAACTGGGCCGAGGAGCGCTTGCGGATGCTGCCACTCTCCAGACGGAGGGCCAGTTCTTCTGCCCCAAAGGGGTTCAGGTCGTCCTCAAGGAAGGTACTTTTTCGACGCCCACTGGTGGCCACCGCGCTGTCTGGAGCAGGGGACCCAGGCGCTCCGGATCGTACACTGATGCTGGCCATCGCGCCACTGAGGCCATGCAGGGCGATGGCCTCCTGGAAGGGCTGCAGGTCGACATCCACCGACGAAGTGGACTCGGTGCCCGCAGCCTGCGTGGCAACCCCGGCGGACGGCTTCGGGGTCGTCCTGGGGGTGCGCTGGGGGGGAGCAGCGGGGGGCGCTTTGCCACAGAGGAAGGTAATGAGGTCTTCGCGACGGATGGTGCTCCGGCCCTTCTTCACCCACTCCAGTACATCTTTGATGCGCCGCTGGTAGCCAACCTGGACGCCCAGGTCAAAACTTCGTTGGTGGGCATGCCCGCTCTCTTTGTACAGGCTGGTCACGGCCATGGCCGCGTTCTGGAAGGGGTCCCACATAGACAGTCCTGGCTGTTGGCAGGCGGAATCCTTGTAGAGCTGGGCCACGGCGGTGGCCGAGATCTGGAAAAGATGCCAGAGCCTCTGTTGCTCGCTCTTGAGCCCCGCCGCGTCGGCGGCCGCGTCGTCCTGCAGCTCGGGGCACAGCTGCTGCTGCTGCTCGGCCTCGGCCAGGCACTGGCGCTCCCACTTGGAGAACCAGTGCTCGGCGACCTCGGCCTCGCCCTCCTTCGGCTGCTCCTCCATCCTGCACCTCCAGGCCGCGAGCCTCCTCCACCACCGTCTCCTCCGCCACCACCGCTCGCTCGGCCACCTCCACCTCACCTCCTGCTGGCGGATCCCCCTCCTCCTTCCGCGGCGGCTGCCACCGCCACCGCCGCCGCCGCCGCCGCCGCCGCCGCCGTCGCCGCCGCCGCCGCCGCCTCCGCCGCCGCCGCCGCCTCCGCGGGCGCCGCCGGGCGGGCGCGCGGGCGGTGGGGCCCTGAGGCCAATTGCTCCGGCGCGCGCCTAGCGCGGCCTGGGTGCACGCCCCGCCCCGCCCCGCCGGCCCGGCCCCCGGCAACGCTGCGAGCACACTCTGTGGAGCCACGGAGATAACCCCCGCAGCCGCCGGCGCCGCCGCGCAGTCCCCTTCCGGTCCCGCCGATCGCTCCTCCTGCCCCCTCACGGCGCCTCGGCCTCGCTGTCGCCGCCGCCGCAGGCTGACCGATCGGCCCCAGCCCCCGCGAGCGCCGCGGCTGCCGTACTGAGAACTCGCAGGGGGAGGGGGCAGCGGCGGTTGGAGCGCTGCCTCTCCGCGCGGCGCTTGCCTACCGCTTGGCCCCTTTTTCACACATTTTTGGGACTTGTCAGCTTGCATCCAATGAGCTGATCAAATTTTACATCCTATGTTGCCAGAGAGGATTATGGGGCAACTTCATGGTGTCGAACACATCCAGGGCGCCGATCCGGGGAGGCCGGGGTGCCACAGTGGATAGACCGTAAGGATCGTCATAACTGGGCAGCCAGTCTGGAGTCCAACAGTGTATTTCACACACTAGGTGCTCGAAAAAGTGCTCCCTATGCATCGAAGCTGTATCTTGTATAGAAACAGGGGAGTGCTATTTCCAAAGCGTACATTCCTTCTGCCACCCTCCCACCCCCCCGCGCACGTAAGCTCTTCCTGGGCCTCAGTTTCCCCCTCGTGTCCACTAAGGTATTTGGGCTAGGTCTCTGAAAAGCACTTAAAAGTTGTGATGAAAAAAACCTTCCTGCTGTCCCTGCAAAACACTTCTTCGGGACTACTTGCATACTGAGCAAATTCTAAGAGTAACTATTATTGCAAAGGTTTATGTCATTAAAATGCCATGGAGTCGTTATCTGTGGTGCGTTTCTCCCCTAAAGGTCCCAGAGTAAGGAACGGCTGAAATCCAGGCCGCTTTTGGAAAGAAAGAAAGAAGAAGAAAAAAAGAAAACCCTCATGTCCACCACCCTGAAATTATGGTTCCTTAAAATATTGCAAAAATACCAATACAAAAGTGAAGCAGGAAACAAACGAATGTGTTTTCTTTGAGTTCAATATCAGTTCCTTTATAATGATGCAATCCATTTGCACTGCAGACAATTCCAGAACAAACTATTAAAAGAAGAAAAAACAACTGTCACTAAGCTAAGAATAACATGAAAAGGGGAGAAATTCACATGCAGTCATTTTTCAAATTCATGGGGAAAGTGAAAAAAATGATAGTTTACGTTATAGGATAATTTGCTACACATAAAGAATAGGCTTATGGACAAATATAAAAGAAGCTCAATCTTCCATCAAAACATATCTGATAAATCCCAAGTATAAAAATTAGTATATAAAATGACCTAATCATCAGGTTCATCATTTTCCTGAAAAGAAATACATGTTTCTAACTTAAACTTAAAAGACAAGAAGACGAAAAAGAGGGGATTGTGCTCTTTCTCTGTAAACTAGGCTTTTTCACGATTCATTAAACCTTTTTTCCATATGTGTAATTGGACCTTTCTCATTTACATAAACGAAGGATGAGGCAAAAGACCTAGGATCAGCCCAAATGGTTATTTCTCATTGCTCCTAGATTGAAATGTTGTAAACTCAGCCCCAGAAAGGCAGAGCTCCCTTGCCCAACACTGTGTCCCCCAGATCTCGAAGTACTTCATGGCTAGGAGTCTGAGAATTTGCTAGGGCATTGAGGACTACGGTACTCATCCTGTCTTACAGTTAGGATCACAGGCACATGTCTTTATTTTCCCTAAGGAAAAAGCTTGGACCCAAATGAATGACAGGAGGACACCATAACCTACTCATTTCTGATTGGGTTAAAAACTCAAGAAGAAAGACTGTACTGTTGTTTTTTTTTAAAAGAGCTCAACCCTCTGTTGGGGCTTGAGTTGTCTGGCTGATATCCTCCATTCAGTTGGTTTCAGCACCTGATTAATTAGTTAATTAGTACTTAGAGCTGACTAGCCCCCGGTCTGCAATTTTCATGCCTTGCATGGTGAAATGTTGAATCCAGTATTGAAATTTCTGTCGAACACCCTAATTATTATCACCCCACTACTTTTAAAGCCATTGCACCAAATTATTATTATAGTCAGAGCCAGACAACTCTGTGGGAATATGTTCTTGCTGTGAAATAATGGTAGCCTTAATCAATATTTTTCACTGTTGCCCTTAACACATTCAAATAAAGCAAATAGGAAAAAAAAATCTAATTCAATTAACCTTCAACCCCTCCCCCTGAATAAAAAATTATTTTATACAGAAGAGAAATTTGAAGAATTATACCAAAAATGTTAATAATGTTTTATCAGCTTCCCATGTGACTCAGTGTCTTTACACAATACATCTTATCTGACATTAGTTTTGCTCTTATATAGGTCTAACATGTCACAAATAAAAATAGACACAAAACAAAGAGATGGGTTTTTTTTTTTTTTTTAGCTATAAGGAAAAGATGCTATCTCTGTCTGTGGGGGTGGAGTGGCAGTTGATGTTTAAAAACAACTGCTGTGGTTTAAGAGTGAATTTTCTATAAAAAAAAAAAAAAAAAGATATTCCTTGGCCACTGTCATTCTTCCATAACTTTGGTGTCAAAGCTAGGGTGAACTATGGACTAAGGAGAAATCATTTTGGAAAACAAGTTTAGGCATAAAAGTAGAAGAATCTAATTTCGAGCCTTTCTCAATGTTACCATTATTGAAAGGGACTGATGGGTCATTGATTTCCAATATTATTGGTAACTATTTTCACCTGGTAACAATTCCTATCTATCAGTACAGTGAGAGCCTGTAATTGTAAGAGCTAAATGGTTCACAAAACTGGATACACAACCACACAGACCAGTAAATGGGTCCGACTGAAAGCAAAAGTAAACACCAACCTTAGGAAATGAAAGAAGTTAAAAGATAAGTGTTAAGGACCTTATTCTTTTTGGAGAATAAAACAAGATTTAGTAGCTTTCCACTTAATTTAAATGAAAAGAATCACTACCTTACATATTGCAGTGATAATGTAATGGGGAAAGAAAACAAAAAAGTCTTTGTACAAATGACACCTCCTATAGTTGTGGTGAAGAAACTTTTCCCCTTGGTATCTGCTAACAAATTCTAATTAATGCTGCACATTCCTTTACTGAAATCATTTAATGCGTAACAAGGGGGGTAAAAAGAAATGCTGAATGCTCGTGATTGCCCTGTTAGAATTATGGGAGTGAAAGCCTGGGGCCCCAAACTTACTGTCTATTAAAGCCAAGCTTTGAAAAAGAAATGCAACCTACAAAAGCTGTCAATCTCCCTTGCCCCTAAAGCCTGGGTTCACATGGATTCAAGTGACAGCCCTCCTCCCCCATGCACAATACATCAATCTGTCTCTCCCACAAGCACCCACAGCCCATTGTGCTGGCCGCAGGTGCCTATTATGGCACCCATGGCTGCCTCCCACAGCTCCGCCCCTGAGAAACAGGAACTGCAGACAATGGAGCCCTGTGGGAAGACAGAGGTGGGTGTTGGGAGGGATAACAGACAGATGGTAAAGGGTATAGGGTAGTAAGGTAGTTTCAAAACAAATGTCAAACATTCAAAATTATTGCTTTTGTACCCACCCCCCCTTCTGAATCTCCTTTGCTTCAATCACCATCTGCCTTAATTATAAAAATACTTACCTGTTAGGGTATTTGTGCCCCTCTTTTTAGGTAGTGGTGGAGAGGATACCCTTCCATACTGTACTGCTCGTGTTTAGCGTCTAAGTTTCTCAAGGTCACAGACTAAGTAGTCTTAGTTAAGTGACACTAGTAGACTATATAGGGGGAAAAAAGGAATATTTCTATTTTTCCTGTGGTTTGTGATTTCCTTTCAAGCTTATTTTGGAGCTCTTCAAGGGGCTAAAACCTAGTTAATTTGGGTAACGTATTGGAAAACATTAAAGTACTATGAAACTTCTTACAAACCCTACACCATGCAGATGGGTAATTTCAGACCATTTGTTTATCTGGTAAGGATATATGAAAAGGGAGATGAGATAGAGTGCATAATAAATGTTTTGAACTTCTCTGTCTCAGTCTTTTTTCCTGTTTCTTAATATATCCAAAAGCAAACAAAATTGTAAGAATTAAATACTATCCATAATAAGAACCATTATGAGAAAAAGTACAATTTAAGCATTTCATTTTCTAAACTATCACTTGTCTATGGTGGTTTTAATTCACTGAGGTCTTTCCTTAAGAAACAATAAGTAGAATTAAAATATATACCCAAGCACATATGTATTAGTTCAAATCGTTTGGTCTTCTCAATATACCACCTGTTCCTGCTTTTGAGATAATTTCTCATAAACTAAAGCCAAATGAACGATAATTTTATCCCTACTTTTATAGTCTTTCTCAAGCGAAAATGACCAAGAAAAAAATCTGGTCCAACTGTTAAGTCATGGCCAAGACAATTGGTGACTTGTTGAGATGAAGGTACCCACAGAATCATGCCAGGGGCTAAAAGCAGCCACTTTTCCTGAAGCAAACAAGAGGGTCTTGGTTTGCTGTCAAAAACCACAAACTGGGCTTTAACTAGGAACTGTCAGAGATCCAAGAGAGCTTCTGGCCAGGGAGAGCTTAATTAGCAGACTTGGTCTGGTTTTGAAAATTACACAAGAAAAAGCAATCAATACAGTATGAAAGCTTACTGTGGTCTAATGTAGCACAAAATTCACTATTTCATTAAGTATGTAGCTATTGCATGAACAGTTTTGCATGAACAATTTAGATTT